TTCGTCGTAACGAATAGTACTGATTTTCTGATGAGCGAATTCAGTTTTCCAGGAAAAATAAATCACGATGAAATATATACGGTGAATGTGCATTCGCGTTGAGTAAAAAGTACGAGTTGTGCAGGGCGTACGATTGCAGGCACCCCAGGCAGGTATCTCAAAAAGTGTAATACGTAAAACCGATCGTTATTTTATCATACTCGAAGGATTTTTTTCATTTTTCGTTTTCATCTTCTTTTATTCTATCTCTGGATTGCCGGAGATTCTTACGAAACGCTGTTTACGAACGATTCAACGCATTTATTCAGTCGACACGGATACCGTGTAGAGTCCGATACCGGCGGCGCCTGGGGAGAAGCGAACTGATATGCTCGAGAAATTGAATCGCGTTACTGTCTCGCCGAGTTACGTTATCGAAGGTCTAATGGAGGTACGCTTTTACGCGAAAGCAGTACTTTCCCCTTGGTTTCGTTTCCGTTCGATTCTAAGCGTAAAAGAAAGATTTGGCGGTGACTAGAGTATCACCATTTATACGAAACTTGGCGTAGATTGCTCGCGTAGCGAAGGTAAAACGTCCTTTAGTTGGAGATTAAAGGTACGTATACCTCAACTCTTGAATCTCTTTGTGCTTTGCTTTAGTATCGGATACAAACTTGATCGAAAATGGTCTCGAAAACGCGACCCTTCATCGTATTTTTACTCGCTTTTAAGATCCCGAAAGTAATTTATTTACGTTCGCGTAAACCTTATCAGCTTCCTTTTCGAAAAGCAACCAATGCTTACTCCGATCAGCAGAAAACTTTCGTAGTCGTCGTTTGGCTCGAAACACGATGAAGAAATCCTTTTTAAACGACTTTTAATTACCCCGACGTCCCTCAAGCCTCGCTTGTTACCACCCGGTCTCCGGCTAAATCGTGGATTTTCATATGCATATGTAATAGAAGTAGGTCGTTACATTTACGCAGATTCTCTCTCATTGTCACTCAAGATAAGCTTGGTCCAACTCGGAGCAACGAAGCGTTAAGCGACGCAGCTAGAAAACTCATGAAATTCCTGCAGCGCGATCCGACAGATCGCTGGACAGAATTCTTCGCGTCCCGTGTCGCTCGAGATAAACCGAAAACGATCGTTAAGGAGCACTCTAACGTCATCTAAGGAATGCAACAAAAGTATTTTTTTGCATAGTAATACCACCTAGACCATTAGTCAGTTTTAGATGTACTTTAATTTAGGTTTGAATGAAACAATTTGAAAAAAATCGGAATGAAAAACCTTGTTACTCGTTAGGAGAAATGTGTTAGTCTTAACTATGTTGAAAAATAAATATATGATCTTAAAATTTAAGAATTATACTTTAATGTACTTTTTGCATGTGTGCATTACTTTTCAGCTTATCCTCGTATATGCTTGTCGCACGTCTAAGGCTTTGGAAATCTGCTGTAGCAAGTCCAGGTGTCGCTTATGCTTTTTCGATCGTGTAAATGCAAACGAGGCGAGCGCGATGGAAACCCTTAAACGCGAATTTGCAAAAACTAACACGGTTCCATTGGTTCGATCTCGCTTTGATTACGTCACGCGCTATGCCGAACGGAACTTTCTTCCTCGTCCCATTTCTCGTTGCCGCTTTTCTCTTCGAATGCGCGACTCGGAGTTTCTCGGCGGTAGAAAGAACGGGCAACGACCGAAAAATTCAAAGTGGATTCCGCGATAAATGTCGTCGATTTTGCATTCCTGGGAACCCGAAATCGCGTTCCTTCCTGGACAAGAAGTTCCAGATGTTCGTCGGAACGCAGGTATTTCTTTGATATCGACCACTTTCCAGTTTCAGCGAACTCGCCAAGTATTTTCGTTGTCCCACGAAGTTATCATAAAACTCTGGACAGTGGTGCGCTATACTTTCATAGGGACCAAGGCAAAAGGAATTCGAGGATCCGATCTAACAGAAGAAACGGACGAACATTTAAGATTTAAAATTTTTTAAAGCGAAACTTTTTATCGCTCGTTAGTGTAAATTTGACGCTCGCTCTCTTTGAATTGCTTCTTAAATTAAGATTAAGGATCTCCCTTAATCGGAACTCTACGCAGATACGTTCTTCTTTATCTATAACGATCCACTGGCTGGGGAGGAAAAATTGCGGAAATCCGAGAAACACGAGAAATACACCCGCCTCGTCATCGTTCTCGACGACGCCGACGCCTCGAAATGCAGCCCCCTTTACGAAATCGACGAGGATACGCTCGTTTTGCTGAAGACTACAGTTGACTCGAACTAGACGGGACAAACGAGAAAACTTAGATTCAAGGGAATTTTAAATTGCTCCGTGTACGGGTCTCGGCGCTTTGAGACCATCTCCGCGTTACACAAAGGCTGGGAAAGCCTTGGTCGGTCGCGAAACTCGTTCGGACTTCAATTTATCAATTAGAACTTTGAAATGGACAACGATCGAGTCTCCGTTCGTTGTCGACGGTCTCCATAGGAACCGCGAGCTCTTCAGCGATGCAGCCTCTGTCTTTCATAGCGCGTGCAACGACTACTTTAAACCGCCTCGATGAGACACCGAGAAGAGCGGACGCGCTTCGACGAGTTGCGATTCCACGCACTTCGATTCCGACCACGGTTTCTCGCAGGCTTTGAAGTTTTCTTTGCACTCGTTTCAGTGTCCTGATTTCCGATAATTTGTACGCGCGCTACATTCATTCATAATCGAGGTCGGACGAATTACGTATAACCTGAACGACGATGACTATGCCGATAACATTCTAATATTCCGACGAATGAAACCTACGCCGGAAAAACATCTCGAGAACGGAATAGGAAAAAGTAGAAGGAAACGGTAAAATATTTACGTAGAGACAAGATTTCGTTTCGAGTAGTATGCACGGGTAAGTGGCTCGCCTAGCTTTCGCGCACGGAATTCTCGGAATAGGTCCCGCAAGAAAAAGTCTTCGTCGATTCCATAATTCAGAATTACTCCGAAACAGGGGCAACCAAGTTTGCAGGTTCGGGACTCGAGTTCGAATGTGTTGTTTGCTTAACGATTATTTCGATTAACGATTGTTGCTAACGATCGAACAATGCCGAACACTACTAGATTCCTTCTTTCCAAGGATGGTATTTCAAAAATGGCAGGCGTTTGCATATCTTTGATTCGACAAAGGCAAACCACCGCCTGCTCGTCAGTGAAATTTGTGAGCCGCGTACGCGAATTAATTGGAATTTGTCAGAACACAGAACGATGCGGACGCGATTCCTTTGTAGATGCTTCGTAAACGCTCAGTGTATGCAAAGCTTTGTATCGTAGAACGAAATCTGTCCTTCGGTGCTCGTTATCTGACAATTATTATTAACGTTCGCATTCAGCCGCGGACCTGGTGCGGTAGGCGAACCAGTTCAACGCGAATCGAGGAATCGTATCAGTGTTCGTCTTAAACAAAAGAGCAACTATCGGTGTTCTTGATGACGCGATTGACTTACACGTTTTTGACTACACCGCACTGATTGAAATACCACGCGAATCCATTTGACTCGACGAGATAAGTTTCGACGAACAAGTTGTTAATCTCGTTGGTAAGGCGGTTAACGGTAAGAAGTTAGCATACAAAGAAACTATTACACGTATTTTAAAGTAGATCAAGCATAGAATTACCACTTCCTAGAGAAGTACTTCTCTTGGTTCAATCGCTCTTCGAGTTTGCGGCTTGATAAAGTCAAGCGGACACCTACTTATTATCAGTGCATGGCAACAAGGTTGACGTTATTTTGCGTTAAGAAGACGAAAACGAGTATGTTCCCAAACCACGCGCGTGTGTATCCTGCGACGTCTGAAATCTAAAGCTTCCTGCTTGGCAAGATTTGTTTCCCTTAAAGGATCGCTATTTCTCACGTACGGACACTAAGTTATATATGCGCATAGAAATGCACGCCACCGTCATCGAGGCTTTATATTTCGCTCGGGCGGACGTGTACCGAAAATTTTAACACGGGAGACCGTAGAAACACTCGGGCTTGGATTCCACTCGTAGCGCGAAACACAAAATACGTTCGAATCGAATCGTGATCAAGTAATTCATAAATAAATAGATTCGGATACGGCCGAGTTCCAATGATTCGGGTGGCAATTACATTAGGCCGCATTTGGAAAATTGTATACATAGTGCGTGAAGCTTCACTGAAACAATACCCGGACGAACGCAACCATTTATCCGAAAAATCGTGATCGTCGATTGCCATTCTCTATCAACTGATAGAAAACTGCATATTCTACTTGAACAAATTTTTATTTTGTTAAATTTTTATTTTATGTTCTTTGAATTTACTTCGCCGCGAAAATGAAATATATAGAATGTAATATTCGTTCAAAAATAAATTACAATTATAAGTTTTTCTTCCTCATTGATTAATTAATTTGCACCGCTGATTTTCGCTACGAAAATCAGTACGAGCACCATTACGATAATCGCAATTTATAAATAATTCGTGTATTATTCATCTGCAATGTTGGAAAATACAAACGATTATCGAAACATGGGAAAGGTAGGTCTTGTTATCCTACGCTTAACACGATATTATTATTGTATTCATTTAATTTATACGATCGATGAATTAATAATAAAATCCGATTCGGCGTTATTTCCATATTCTATTATCTTCAAATCATACCATTATCATCGTCTAATTGTTATTATTCTATATCCTAACAAGTCTTCCTAGGTTCCCGATTACTAAATCTAACTGGATTGTTTTTACGGACATTTCGTTAAAGTTGCACATAATTACTCGTGACTCGTCCCATGAAAATGCCCCGATCCGTTCTAAATTACCTGCACAGAGAACGTGGCAGAAATTTGAACGATATCGTGGCATCGTTAAATCGTTGAATGAACAACACACAGTGGCTAGATGGAACTGTATTGTGTTTACACGGTTTTCCGTGCTAGCGATTTCGTTGAAACGGATAAAGAGTCGAGGAACAAAAGGGAAAGATAAAAGGCAAACGTACCCGAAACGCGTCCCTCAACTCCTGCTCTTCCTGATCCTGATCAGTGGGGGCGGTTTCGTTCGCGCCAATGTTGCTCACGATTTCCACGAACTCTTCGAAGCTGACATTTCCATCTCCTGAAAAAGAACAGATAAAAACATGATAATTTATTCCGTCGCCGTTTCCGTCCCCTTGTTTCGTGCAACTTTTTGACCGTACCGCGACAAGACGAATGGCATCTCCGAATATCATTTCGGTAGGACTTTTCACTTTTTTTTATTTTTTGGAAAAGCAAAAAAATTAAAAGTATAAACTACCTCGCCGGAAGCGCGGCATTCATTCTGTTCCGATAAAGTCGTCTCCGCGAAGACAGTTTCTATTTTTCCTTTCACGTTTCCCAGCACGGGATTCGCCCTCTCGCGAAAGCGAAGAGGCCCACAGAAGCCACGGCCATCGTGGGATTAACGAAGAACTTTACAACTTCGAGTTTAAGCTGCTTTCTCGGTTCTTGGTTCTTTCACCGTGGAAATCTCCTTTCCTATCATTTGCATTTTTCCACCCTTCTCGGTGTAGCCGTGAAACGCGTGGATGCGTAAAGCGATGAAAAGACAAGATACAAAACGAATGAAGGCCTCTTCGATCGAGGCACGTTACGAGTTTCTTTGAGAACGATTCCCGTAGGATTCAAGACCGACGTGTTGCGCTGAAATTCATGAGAATTGCCGATAAACTTTCGAAGAGGAGATTACAATCTGCTACGGTACAAACCCATCGAACGATTCGGTCGTATCGTGGTTCCGACATCTTCGCGGAACTTCCCCTTAAATAAATACACGTCGCTCCCGGGGGAAAATCCTTTCTGTCGGTTGCCCTCGAGCAAACAGAGTTCTGTGTACGGAGTGCATAACAGCTGTTACCTCGCGTTCTTGACATCGAAAACATCACCAAGAGGAAGCGATATGTTTTGGATACGTTTTGCTGCCATTAAAGATACGAATCGAGTAGATTCAGTCTGTCCTTCGGTTACTTCGACCGACCTTCCGATTAATTGCTGTTTACACCTTTGAAAGGAGAACCAGCGAAACACCTAGAAACGTTGACGACGGTTTGCTTATCTGCATACCAAGCCACGCGCGAACGTGCTCTTCAGGGATACAACTGTAGACATAACGTGTCTTGTCGAATGTGAACGTGCCCAAACTGACACGTCTCGTTCGTCGTTTCGGGACTTGTGTTTTGCACGATAGTCACGACTCGAATGCGATTTTTCGCCTAACGAACGCGTGTCCAAGTAGACGTATGGACGTATGGTCACGAAATTTTACGAAGGCGTACATACAAGGTAAACCGCGTAAAAAAACAAGGGAAAATTGAGAACGATCATAACTCTATTTATTCTTGTACGAGGTTTCAAAGAAGCTGACGCTCTAAAACCGACGGTGTGAAAATTAATTGCATTTGCCACTGCGTCAAAGCATACCGTCACGGCGTGCACATTAATATACCAGAAACACGGGCAAACTGTACAACGTCCACGATAAAGTACCTTTTGTAACAGTCGCGGAGAATTTAAAAATATGTACGAACCCGCGGACCCAGTTGTTCTTTTTATGCGAGAAAATTACTTGAAAATTTTCTTTCGAGATGCATTACAATTTTTCAAATTTACGACGTGACGAAAATCGACTTTCGGTCGTCGTCGTCGTCGTCGTCCGTTTTTTCCCGCTGCGCGACGTAGCGTGGGAGCACGAGAAGCATAAGAAGCACGAGGGAACGTGCAATAAATTTTGTCTAGATGCGATAATACGTAGTCGGTTTCGTTGTCGGACTAGAATCCTCTCGGCTCTCGGTTACCTTAACACCCACGTATCAGCGTCACACTTGGTTGTTCCCTTCCCTCGCGAAATACACAGCCCGCGAGCTGTGCTCGGATCTCGAGATACTCCGCAGCCGCATTTCGAATGCTAAATTCCGGCAACGTAACCCGCGGCCAACGGAACCGGAGTAACCACTCCCCGCCTTGGAATCTCCTGGCGTATCCTAACGGGGATATACCCCCATAACTTGGCGAATTCATCGGCAAAGACAGAGGAGAGCCGTCGCGGGAAATGAGCTCTGCTCGCCTTTGAAATTACAAACGTCGCTCCGTAAGTCTCTTAACAAATTGGCGCGTGTAGCTTACTCGCCGCAGGCGTGTGTATCGTTATCTCTTATCCTCGTCCAAGCGTAATTCACTTACGACGAAATATTGCCAAGAATTAAGCTCCTTTTTTTTACGTGGACCGTGTTATTTCTGTAAAATATTACAGTTCGCTCTGTTAAAGAAACAGAGACGTGCAATTTTTCTACGAAATATACACAGAAATATTAGTCTACTTCTAACGTGCATACGAAACATTTATAGCAGACATTTCTCTACCCGGTAGTCGATATTCCCTCTCGAGTGAAAACGGGCTGTACGACTGAATTTTTGTCACCGAAACGATGAATCGTGCTGATTGTAAGTTGAGGAGAAGTCGTAGACGGAGCTAGACGCGAATCAACAGTTGGGTCGCCAAGAAGTCGATAAAATGTCGAAGCCTCAACGCGAAAGCGACGTCGCACCGCAACGCGTGTAACAATGATAAATATTATTTGTCCATTCGATACGCGATAAAGTATCACGTAGTCTCCTGTGTCACCTAAACTCGATATCGTGAAATCGGAACCCTCTGTCCACGCAGAGAAGAATAGAAGCGATGGTCCATTGGAAAAGGGTCTGATCGACGATTCCTGAAGCCACGACTCCTACAAATTGTAAAAACCGAGTGAACTAGTCGCGATTCATCGATCGCCCTATGGGCGGCGCAATTTTAATTGTGATGTGCTTCCTGGCACATGAAGTACGAATTGGAAGCTCAAATAAAAAAAAAAAAAAAAAATAACGTACAACGTCGATATACGTGAAGTGGGAGTACACCGTAAAATCGACCAGAGAATTTCGTAGCGCTGATTGCACGTTGCTCTTTTCTACTCGCTTTCTCTCGATATAACGACGTTGAATTGTGCGGTCTACGTTACAATGCAGAATTACCGTTCGACAAAGTACCGCACTTTCCGAATTTTTAGATAACCTGGACAACATTTTTGGGACAGATACATAACCGAAGAATATCATCGGTCGAGATCGATCGATTGAGACGAAGGGACAAACCGAGATCGCTTCACGGTTGTAATCGCTGAACAAGGTTGTCGAGCAACTCAAACTTAAACTTCTATTGCAAACACTTTATTCAAATTAACTCGCCACTCACCGAGAGAGCTCCTTCAAACTCGACTCGACAAACTCTCGATCGCTAGATAAATCGTCGACAAATATACTTACATCTACAACTAGTCGTACACTGTACAATTTTCCAGCGAGCAAACGGTTCCGAACACGAACATCAACTGAAACTAAATGCATTCATCACCTCTTTCACTTTCACGTTTATAGTGTTAAGTAACACGCGATAAATTTAAACATGAACACTTCAACTTTTGCCGAGTACGCAGTTTCTGGCGTAATTTACGTTAGAAGTTCGAGTGATAAAGCTAAATGAATAGACTGGCCCATCAGAAGGCCAGTGTTTGCCTTCTTTCTCGAACTGTAAGTAGGGGAGAGTGTTCCACCTAGAGCACAATGTAGTTGCACCTACAGCATAATGACGTTTATTTATTTTAAACATGCAAGCTTGTTTTCAAAAAATGTTCCCTGGTACAAGTAGTCTCCTCTACAATTTTCGAGCAACTATCGAGTCGTTAATTTTTTTCCTTTTCAAGACATGACTTTTGGAAGATTTTTCTCGCGCACTTAATCTAATCGTTCACTTCGCGAATTAATAATCTGCAGTCACCCTTCCGGGAGTAAAGCGGGTCAAAGGAAAATCCACCCTCGGGCACCGCAAAAAAATAGACAGGAAAAACCTCAGAAAAAAAGAGAACCGTCGAATGTTCCGATGTCCAACAAGGCAAGTTGGGCACTTCGAAAGAAGAAGTGAAACTTTTCGAGAATGTGAAATTCGAACTGATTATCGATCGAGGGTAAAATCGTGTCATACCTAATCCCATGGAAGGAGAAAAATTGTTCGCATATTTTCTTTCCCTCGAGCTTGAGACTCACGCAAGATAAATAGGGAAATACAAAGTGATTTGGATGGAAATAAAAGCGATTCGAGAAGAAATATGACAGCTTCGAAGCCCGTACGTCATCGGCAGGTTTCCGACACCCCATTGGTTAATTCGTTGGAACGCGTGGAAGTACGAACGCGTGGAAAATGGAGCGATCGGTTCGCGAAAACCAATTCACGCCTCGTTTCCCATACTGGCTGGTTTCCGAACAGTTCTCCAGATGAATAACGATCTCGGTTAGGCGCGTCCTTCGCCTCAAAGTTATCGAAGTCAACTCTGCTGGTCGCTCTTGGCTATCGACCAGTCGGAACTTCCGTCGACATTGCTAAATACCACAACGTAACGGCGTTGAATTGACATTCGACGTGGCGGAGCTGTCGACTTATACATGCGCGTCATACGTTGCCGCGTACATACGAATGGACTAGTTGCCCCGAACCAAGTCACGGTAAGTCCTCCCCTCTCGATGGGTGCATTCAAATGACGTAGCGAATGTCGCATCGGAACGTTTCTATGAGCGTCGGTTCTCGTCAGTATACCGCGAAAATATTTTTTTTTCCTCTTTTATCTCCTTCGTTTTTTTTGGAGGGTGAGGGGGAGGGGGTTGTCCGCGGTGTGCGTGTCTGTTTTATTCAATGGCACACGCGCACAAACAGACGTTATTCATCGGGACGAACGCGAGATGCATCCAGGGTGAAACGAGTCTCGATTACGTGGGCGCGCGCGATGGTCTCGTTTCGTGAGCCGCTAGCTCCTATCGTAGCTGCTTCTAATTACTCGTGCACCGCCTACGACCACGTTGCTTCGCTACTTTTGATATCAAAATTCGAACCGACCCAACGGCTGAACAGATATCGCGCGAATGAATATTCGTAGGATGCTCTTATCGAGTCGACGGGAATTCGTTTTCGAAACGGTGGAAACGCGTTCCTTCCTTCGTTCTGGTATTTGCCGCGTGAATTAAACGAGCCAGTCGATTAGAGGGGAATAACACTCTGGAATACTAATGACAAACGTTCCCATTACGGGACACGCGATATAACATGGAACGCAAAATTCGTTACCAAAAGAAGACCGTCGAAAGAACTTTGGTATTCCGACAATTCCAATTTTCGCGATAATCTGTTACTCGTTCCGTGAAATTACTAATTTAAATAACAGAGTGTGACATAATTTCCTGATCGTTAGAGAAGAATGAGACGATAAAAGGTCGTCGGGTATGTTCGAAATGCAGCAACGCGGTAATCTGCAATGCGTTCCATTAGTTCCAGTGGACCGTGGAATTAATAAAAATTCTGTCACCACGGTGAAGGTTTTCACGAGCGACGTGTCCACGGATACACCTTGCTACGTAACGCCGGGCTAGGTGTTTGGTGTATAGAGAGGAAAAATTTTACGCGCGGTAAACACGAGTCGGAATTGACGACGACAGCTTCGCGAATTCGACGCAACGAGTGACCCGATGCGACGTTTGTTTAGATAGGCGCGTAATTTAGCTGATCCGTGAAAAAATCTGGGTTCCCAGAGGACACGGCGACGAGAAATTTTGTTTTCCTTCGATGGAATCGTTCTTTCAGATTTCGTCTTCTGTCCCGAAATCTCGCGAGAGTAAAGAAGCACGCAACCGTTCACTATTGCGAGAAGAAAAAGTTATTTTCCTACCGCTTTGGGGACCAGCAACAGGTACCGACACATTTATATGCATCTCGTGCATCTTCAGAGGAAAAGAACAGCTCATTTTCCGCTATGCTAATCTTCGATGTTTCGCTTAACAAAGACGTTCTACAATCTCAACTAATTTTCAGCGAAGTTCGCGTCTCACCCTCGAAAGCGTCTCGAGATTCCTCCGCTTCAGAAGTAATGAAAAGACTAACAAGATTTCGGCCGCGATACGACTCGACTCGACCGTTTATACTCGAGGGACTCTAGTCGTTAAACGTCGAAACAATAGAAATTTTCGTCGTGGTGCGACCATTCGACCAAGATTCTCGAACATCTTCTTCGTGCTCCGAAACTCGAGCAGGCCGAGGCGAAGAAGAAGAAGACGAAGAAGAAGTCTAAATAGTCGTTGAGGGTGTAAGCGTATAGTCGAGCGAAAAGGTGAAGAGACTAAGGAGGGTCGAAAGGAAACGGTTCGAAAGGAAGGGAGAGTGGATCTGGCTTAATAAAGAGGCTCCGCTCACGAACGTCCTTCCCATTGTCAGGCGGGAGAACATTTCGTGAAAATTACCCGCAATTACAGCGATGCCATCGGGCAGAAAGGTTGTAAGTGGGCCAACGCGGTTACACGGACGAATGGTAAACTTCGGTGTCCTCGACTAATAGCTGATTGCGCGCCACCTTGTTTACGAGCCGCACCAAGACCATAAAGTTGCGAATCAAACGATTACACCGCCGTTCGACGATGTATCGCGTTCAAAATTATTCATCGAGGGGTGGATATGGTCGCGATGGGTAATGGTTTCGGCAGTCTCGTTCAAACGCTGTTGCTGGTTAATGAACTGCCCTACGCGATAGGCGAGCGATATCAATTACCGATGGTTATCATTGAATATTAATCGAAAATTTTGTATCGACGGTCCAGTTCTTCCATCCCGGTGATTTTATAGCTAAAAACTTTGGGAACAGTTTTGTCCCACTCAAATTTTTCGTCGGCAAATGATAAACTGTCTTTAACGAGTAAACAATTTGTGTATCGGAGAGTAAAGCATCGTTTTGGTACAATACAATGCGCTCACCGTCGATGTCAATCTCCTGCAACATGGTTCGTAACTCCTCCGCTCTCGCGAACTGTCCCAGGGATCGCATCACTCTGCCCAGCTCCTCCTTCGTGATGCTCCCGTCGCCGTCCTTGTCGAACAGCCTGAAAGCCTCCCTGAATTCTACAACAACGATAATACCGTTTAATTTACCGAGCCGCGCTCGCTTTAATGTTCGCGCGAGCCCCTTGCTCCTCTTGCGCGTAATGGTCAGACGGGGTAACAAATTATCGCGAACGCGAAATGGTGGGAGGCAAAAGCGCGGAACCGGAGCGCGTTTAAGAACCGTGGCGCATAATGCCCGCGGGGAGAGTTTCCTTCCGGTCTTAATGCACGACTGGTCCGAATACAATTGCACGACGATACTTTAATTACCCGAAGCCACGATTCGTCGAGATGAAGGAGCCGGGTGAACGTGACGATCGTCGTGAAACGCACTTGGACTAATTACGCGCGTCGAATAAAATCTGAAGAATCTCGATGGGACGAAGTCTGATCGACGAAGACACCGGAGAAAAACGTAAATCGCGCTCCCGTCGTTCTTTCCGAACCCGAGAGTTGGAAGGATCGGTCGTTCGAGCTGATTAAACGGTCCAGTCGATAACATTCCGTGGTGTTTGATGCCCGCGGCGGACACGATGAGAAGGGACAAACGGTTAGGTTCGACTTGGATCGTCGGTGCTTGACTCGACCGTTTAATAGCCTCGTTTCACGGCCCATTGATTTTGTACGTACCACCGGCTATGGTTTTCCTATAAGCACGTTCTGCACCGGCGTATCCATGCGCTATTGTTGTTCGGCTAGGAGCACGGTGAGAAAATAACAGAGAGAAAGATGGAGAGAGGAGGAGAAAGAGAGAGCCGGGGGTAACGAGGGAAAGAATGCTTGCGATTTTTTGTTAATCAGTAACAGAAAAGAAGAAGCAAACGAATAGATTCTGCTTAAACCGGTTACGAGCTCGCGGTTTCGCGTATTTTTTTCTGCCTATAGTTTTTGTTCGTCTCGTTTCAACGGAAGACGGAGCATACGTTTTCAAGATAAACTTTACGATACGCGATAATATACGAGCAACAGCGAGAGCGATTAACCGTGGGTGACTCGGTAAATCTGGATCGCTGGCTTTTAATCGCCGTGCCTCGGCCACGCTATCGTACCGTGGAGCAGGAGACACTATTCCGCGAGTGCTTGGTAGTGAATTAGAAGACAGATGGATGCAACGATAGATAGTACGTTTATTACGTACTCGGAAATTGGGTTTCCTAAGAGCAATTAACTAACACGGGAAATGTGCAGACAGCAGTACAGCGATGCGTTAACAAAAATATGGAATACATAAAAGTATAGCCCGCAAAATAAGGTGAAATGTTACACTGGAATCGCGTCTCAAATTCTCGGCATCGCGGAAAAAGAAATTAGAGTCCCGTACTTTACATACTGCATGCAGGAAATTCCTTGATTCGAATTCCGTTCGGTGACATCCTTTGCTTTCAGTGTCACCAGTTTGCTATTCATCGCGACCCAGCGATTTTAACCTGGTCCCGTAAAAGACAGGATTTATAGCTGCAAAAGCGCGTTTCGTATTTGTCAGAGTATCGAACGCCACCTGTTTCTTTATTAGTACGGTACGTAGAAAGAGTGCGAATAGAATAGTTGTACTCAAACGTTCCGTCTGCAGTGGCAGGGACAAACGAAGGCAGGGCGAAAAATCGTACTTTCGTTTGTGCGGAACGTGCATGTCAAAAAAGCCGATTGCTGTGAGATCTCGCGTTAATTGGATATTTGGCCTCGCTTCCTCCACGATTTACTTGTTAACGCTCGATGACTGTAGAAAAAAAAAAATATGTACGTTTCGGTCGGAACGTGTATGACGTGTTTGGTCGGTTTTTCCTTTTTTCGCCGGAGCTAACGAAGTGACGGGGTAACATTCGGCGAGCACGACATCCTGCCCAGAACACGGAAAATACAATTTTATAATATTCACGCAACGCTGAACTTTACTAAATTTATATCGAACAGATTTTAAAATAAGTCATTAAAGAGATACGAAATTCGGTGACACTCGCAGAATTATCTTTTAAATGAGAAAAATTTGAATTTAGATTGGCGGAATTAGGTCCATTTATCCTATATCTTCGGAATGAGATTACTCGATAATTCGAGATTACTTATTGCAATATTCGATACAATTCACAACGTATCGCATTGCGGGGTATTAAACCAGCTTTGTTAGATGCTCGATTAAGAGTAATAAGCCGATTTGACTGTATATCTATGAATAGACACCAGTGATGGAAACCTAAAGTACAATGGCGGCTGTTCGTCAGCTATCTACATACGTCCGTAGGGCACCTGTCTCCCGATAGTGATCGATAGAGTCCCGATTTACGAAGTATATTTTCTTCGGCTCACCTTTCATTTGTGACTTGGTTATATTGGGCGTTTTACTGGACGTGACAGTGGCAGATCTCTTCGGCGATGCGGGCAGGGAAAAGAGGACGTTCGTCGAGAGTTTGCTGGTCCCCGCGGAAGTAGATGCCGACGAAAACGCGGCCGACGCTCGGGACTGACCGTGGTCCTGCGTTTGCCGTCGACGTTGCTGGTGAAACTGCGAACCCTTCGTCGACGATATCGATGCATTTGATTCCGTGGGCACGAATGGCAGCGCCGTCGACGTGACTGCCGTCGTCGATGTCGGCGTTGTCGGCGTTGTCGGAGTTGTCGGCGTCGTCGTCATCATCATCGTTATCGTCGATGCCGTCGATGTCCTCGGGGAAAAGCCGCTTGTCCCTTCTTGCTCCTCGCCGCGCTCTACCGTCCCGCTGCTCTGTCTCGTCTGCAAACAGTTCAAGTCGACCGAGTTGACCAAGTGTATTTTTCAACGACGACAACTTTAAAACGAAGCGGCCTTTCCTTTCAAACGCGACGGAAATACAAAGGATAATATTTTCACTGGTTGAACGATTGTATGTGTTCGCCAAGAAGCACGTTTAGCGAGGTGGAGACGACTTTTGTAGGTCGCGAATTAAGGGGACCTATATGGCTTAGAATAACAAAAATTCAATTTTCAAAAACAACCGAGATACAGCGATTTTCTTGTGAGCTTGCACCGAAACGAAACTTTATCAAACTACACTCCATTAAAGGCATGAGAGATGCTATTTGGACAAGATATTATCATAAGTTGTGACAGATATAAAACCACAACATTTTTCTTATCCAGAAGGGCAAAATTCATGGCGCAGGTGGCAAAGAGCAAAGGCTTACAATAATTTATAGAATTTTAATCATAAAAATCCCATACCAGATGTGGTGATGGAGGCGATAAAGCCAATATATGAAGCTCTGAGCAATGAAGATCTGGTTAATAAGCAGTAAATACTGTGATTTGGAAGTTGGCACCGAAGAAGTCATTTAGCGAAACTGAAATCCTCGTGTGTAGCGTATACATTAAGCAAAGCAATGCACCGTTCCATAGTGCATCGGACAAGGCTCGATAGCCACAGGTGGCACGACGCAGCTAACGATGGACAGTTCACCGCTGCACGGAAAAGACAATAAGACGTCGTTGGATAAAGTGAACGATAAAAGAAACCCGGAATTACATTTTCCCGCCAGGTAAGACAGCGCAATCCTATTTATTGTCAATTATACGAAACACTAAGTACGACCACTGGAAGCCAGCCCCCAGAGATGGAATAAAACCCAATTGTTGCGTACGCATGCCTCATACCTATCTCCATTTCTTTCTTTGTTTAACTGTGTCGAGCAAGGTGGAAGTAAGATACATTGAGCAGAATATAAGGATTTGGTAAATGTAATAAAACTGATGCAACATAGTGATTTTAGTACACGATACTCATGACTTTTACATATACTAAAATAGCGAACTCACGATGGAGACGTGTTTCTCGTAGCAAAGTATTGGAAATATTTGAAAAATGTACCTTTCGGTCGTGCTTGTGTCTCTAACTTATAGTACTTGCACCTACAGCACCTACAGAGCTTCCGTTAGACACGTTTGATCCATGAAGAAAAAAAAGTTGCAACACTCGGGATACAAAGTTTCAAGCGCGGGGGAGTTACGACGCGGTTAACTCTGTTTAGGGAACGTGACGCACGTGTATCTCGTCGGCGACAATAAAACACGGGCTGTTCCGCAACCTTTTACCTTTTACCTCGGTTGATTCGACGCCACGTCGCTACGATGAACCTCGAAACAGACACCCCGCCAAATTGCTGTATTCTTCCGCTATAGGGAAAGAAAGATTTTCGCGGAAACACGATATCGGCTTCAATCTTCTTACGAAATGGAGTTCACGTATCGCGTGAACCATAAATTTCGTTTCCTCGACGGAGAGATATCGTCTTGCGTATTATCGTAATTTTCGCGTGCAAATATTTCCGCTCCGCTCTCGCTGGAAAAATAATGAATTAAATTCGAACGTGAAACGATTCTTAGCCAAACAAACGAACTAACAGTATTTGCTGCTTATTATTAGAAGTTGAACGTGTTCGTCCGAATAGAAAAAGGAAAACGACGTTTGGTTCGTCAAGTTTCAAACAGATTTTCTGTCAGCGACATCGATTGCTGACCCAGAACGAGAGTTGTCCAAAAGATCCTTTGGCCCGGCAGGACTTTCGAATTTGGAATCAACCTCGGCGGGAAGTTTCGCAAATTTGATAATAAAAGGAGTGGCGGGTCGAGATTTCTAGCTGGAAGTTCCCTCTTCTTTTTCCGTCTGTTTCCTGGGTAAAAGTCCAGTGGCAAAATCGAATTCTCGTTAACCCGTCAAGCGTTGCTGATCGGCCCTGACACTTTTGTCCCCAACGACGATTCTTTGGATCAGCCGCCGATTTAAATTACATTTCATCGCTGCCACGCGCGGACAAAGCGAAGGTATCCTATTTCGCCAAGCTCGATTCGAACTTCTATTCCAAATCGCCGATCCAACGAGATCGAGCCGTTTTTCCCTCGTTCTTGCAAATGGCACGACGAGGTGGGTCCGATACCTAATTACAAAGAAATCAGACTTCCTCTGCAGCGGCCTTTCGATCGAACGATCTTCTCCTTTATCGATTAACCATTATCGAACCTCGCGATCGGTCGAAGTTACTTTGTACGGAATATATTGCAAAAATATATATTCTATATGGGTAATTTCCGATTAATCTTAATCAACTCGTCCATTACAATGGCGAGATGAAAACATTTCGTACATGACGACGTGAAAAATTCTCCTTGACGGGCGACTAGAATATTCCAGTAGCGACATGGAGTCGAGTTATTCGAGATCGTGTTTCGAGAAAGACGTTTTTCTTGATATTGAGATTGCTTTCGTGTACACCGAACGAATTATTTCTGCTGACACGACATGTTAAGCGAAGCTTACTTGAAAAGAAAATATTACTCGAGAACCCCTACAGCAGGAACGTAAAGCGTTATAAAGTTCGAATGCCGATGAAATTACGGATATCGCGATTAAATTAGATGTGTGAAATAACAGCAGGTGATCAGAGGAATTGGTTCCACTTACCTCGGATTATTTATCGATAGTTTGCTGTACAGGTAAAGCAAACACTCCTGTTGCACGTTAAACCTTATACATTGATCCCATTGCAAGGAAGCCAATTAGTATACGCCAATCTCTAACCAAAGGTATAACCGCCGACAATTTATGATGCCTGTTACGATCGATACTAACAACTTAATGGAAAGGAGTCTCGCACGTGTGTCGCTCAATCTGGCTACGTGGTACGCGTACCACGAAGTGCTGGCGCAAATTATGACAAGACAAAGAAGTCGAGATAATTCGAATCTGTACGAAAGAAAAAAATAACTGCGCGGCACATTAGCTTGGACGATCGTCCGTGTGGATAAATTAATTACAACAATCTCTCAAACTCTGGCTACCCACTCTACGGCGAACTAATTAAACAATAACACGAGGCGACGAGCGTAATCGTTCGACTGCCGGATGTCCAGGAAATTACATTACTAACGATCTTGCCAAGCGTTACTTTTCACGGTGTAAGTTAGAGACATTTCCCGGAGAATATGCTCAGGGGATTTACGCGTCGTGACACAGTTCAGTTTTGCGGTACGTCTAAGTCATCGAGGGTTTTCTGTATAATTGTGCAAGCCTTTATTTGCTCAATTTCACAATCAGTGGGGAAACCGTCGACCGGAAGTTTCGATAAATGCATTGTTAACGGTCTCCTTAACCGAGAACGTGTTATTAATTCCTTTCCGATTACTTTACCGTCGAAAGAAAACTTCGTTAGCGGTCGGGACGACGCTAATTGCTTCGCTTGATACTTGTCTATCGCGGGTACAAGCAGAAGACTGGTGTAGAAAATAGTCGAAGTGGCTTCGACCGCTATCGCGGCTATTATCGTTGCGGAACATCACCTTCCCTCTCCTCCTATCTTCGCAGGCTTAAACGAACTGTAAAAAGTCGGGAATTTTTGTTGGTCGGGTCGAGGATCGACCGACTCCGTTTGCAGTAGCGAGACGAGGCGTTCGAATTCGATTAAGTCTCGCGATGCGCCGCGTTGGGAGCCAAATCGTTCGAGTCAATCTTAATTAATTTGTGTTAAGAGCCGAGCGTCTAAGCGACCAATCCCGACAGACCGAGCATTTACTAAACAATTCGACGGGCAACTATAGGAAAACGGCGAGACGACGTAACGAGTCTCGCGATCGACGCGCCCGCGAATCCATCTTCGACGAAGGAATCCTGCAGGTGATTAAAAGAACGTTTTCTGTGAATACTGATGAGAGGAAATGGCGCAAAGTGGAACGTTTAATGATATCGAGGAAGACTCGCGTAATTGATCGGATTAAAACGTGTAATTAAAACGCTCGCGATTGGAGGAGGGTATCTAAATTTTATATCCACGGACGCTCTTCTCGCGTATAAATTTGTTAGCATTTCAGATCGTGCTAAATGGTGGTCGTTTAGTTAACGTCGCGATTCGAAACGTACTAACCTCGCCGATCTCTGAATCAGCGATTTAAGAGCGTGAATCACACGCGGACATAAGAAAATTATAGAGAAAAACCATACCGCGGTGAATCCGAGCACGCGCGACGAAGTAGTAGGGTCAAACGAAGGAGAAGACAGAGAAAAAAGGGAATTTACGAGCGTTGGGTGGAAGAACGATAAGACACAGCACTCGATCACGCTGTCTCGCGTTTTGATTGAACGTGAAAAGAGAAAATGCGTGCTTGACAATTTGCATGAGACAACATCGTAGTCTGCATAAAGGAGATAGCACTGTTTCCCTGTCATTAAGGGGGGAGGGGGTTCTGGTCTAGCAAGTCTAAAGCATTGGCTGGATCAGACTTCTTCCCCTAAACGTTTAAATCTTTCTCGCGAGAAAGATCATCAGGCGTTTTAAAGTGTTGCGAGAACGTCGAGGACAAGGAGGAAAGTGTCCCGGTAATTGCTGTTCGATATTCGTGTCGTATTAATGGCTGCTAACAAGGAATCGATGCCGACTTTTACGTGGTTTTGCATGTTTGTAGAGCAGGTGCAACTTCTGTCGATCGCGTGTTTGTCAACTGTGTCGACTCCGCCAATAAACGAGGTTTCATCGAAGTCTGAGTCAAAGGTTCCGTTATATTCCTCGCGAGTGCTAACGCCAGTTCGGCACCAAATATTCCGTTTACACGGCAGCTTCAATGTTTCTGCGATAAATTGCGCGTCCCTTTTAAGCGAGTGAACGTATGCAGCCATATGTAGCGTCCCGGGGTCCCGTGAGCTCGAACGCGACACGGCAAATTTCACCGATTTCACTCAGGATTAGCTCAATTTGTAGACGACACACAGC